CTCTATCTCTCTATCTCTCTATCTCTCTATCTCTCTATCTCTCTATCTATCTATCTATCTATCTATCTATCTATCTATCTACCACCTATCTCTCTCTATCTCTCTATCTCTCTATCTGACTTATATGGCCACCCATCTTATGTAATACAACTCTGGGTGCCTCACAACAATAATAAAAACCAAAGAAACCATAAAGCCAAAACCTGGTGCCTCGATTCTCCAACGTACCCAGCAATACAGTCCTGGGCCCCAGCCGCATCCCCCGCCACGCTTGGGAGGAGAGACCCACTGCTCGGTTCCCCACTCGCTCTAGGATCCCCTGTCAGGGTCAAGCTTTGCCACATGGCTATTAAACAAATGCTCTGATTTGGAGTGCCCCCCCCCCTATACAACAAGGGGAGGCCGGGGGCGGAGTGACAGAAACACTTCTGTCCCTAACCCTAACCCTCTCAGGAGTTGAAGTCCACACATCTTCGAGTTGCCAAGGTTGAGAAACACTGATATACACTAACAGTGCTCTGCTGTGAAGGTATTCCTGTGTATTCCTTTCCCAACATCCAAATAGCCTGGATTCCCAATCACCCCACTGCACTACACCTCACCTGGAAACTCCTAGGATATTCTCACCCCCATCTCCTTGCCTTAAATTACTGGCTGATACCCAGCTTTTGGCGATGCTGCCTGAGGATAATGAAAACTGCTTTCAACCCATTTGGAAGGCACTGTTGTACAGATGCCCAGCTTATATGTAAATTGGTGTGCATAAAAACAAAACAAAACATTTTAATTCACATCAATTAACACGGATGCTCAGCCTGGCTTTAATTGTCCAGCAACAGATTTACAACGCAGCCTCTCTCCTTCTCCAGTTACTGAAACATCTAGCCAAAATGGGAAGACTGACTCATACAATACAAATGCAACACTGGTAAGAGGTAATTGTGGTGTTGCCACAAGCCTTTTAAAGATAAAATGCCTAAAAGACATATATTAGTACTGCCAGCAAGAGAAGCCAACAAGAGGCTGTGAAGGTCAAGTAGCCTTACTCTGGCATGAAAGCTCACCTGGAAGGACTTTGCCACACGGCTACGCAAGGAGCGGAAGGATTACCTTCCTATTGGCCAAAGTCCTTGTTCTGCCAAAGGAACGTGTCTTTTCAGCAGCTTCTCCAAATCTCCCATAAGATCTGTCGGGCGAGATAAGCAGTTCCAAAGCGAAGAAGAACCTCATAGTGGCGTCCTCTATGTAGTAGCTGGTCCCACTGAACTCAACTGTGCTTCTCCTATTAAGCAGCTAGGAGAGCAAGGGTGAAGTAGTGTTTAAGCAGTAAACCCAAGCTCTGATCCAGTGTTTCTCAACCTTGGTGACTTTAAGCTTTATGGACTTCAACTCCAA